GTATTAGTATGGTGTTCCTAATAATCCTTTAGGTGAGTGTATTTCACAATTGAAATGCATGGGATTGATGTGCCTGTTATCGACAGTGTCTTTTCCACAAGGAGGCTGGGAAGGAGCCAACAAAGATAAAGCTCATTTGTTAAGGTTTACACCACTGTCTGCCTCGCACAGCAGAGAGTTGAGCTAGGTTATACCAGGCAATTCCAGCACAGAATAAACAGTGAACCAGTGAGACACACTGACATATTTATTGGAAGGTACAGTGGTGTGTTTGTCAGTGCATCGAGCAGTCACAACAAATCTCAGAAACGACGCCGCTATTGTGGAAAATAGCACCCAATATCACATTCAGTAAAAGTGGCTATATGCAAGCTTCACAATTCACAAATAATTACACATAAAAAACCCTATATATTACCATGATTATTTAGTTGAACTGATACATATTCTTGTTTTATACTCTAGTAAATAAGTATCTTAGTGTTACCTAGCAGAGATGGAGGGTTCTTACATGTAACTCTCCCAATAAATAGAACCAGCCAATACAACCCCCCGCCGCCCCCAATAATCACGTCTCCCCCTAAATGGGTGGAAACTTCAACACCCTCAATGTCCATCTTCATTCTCACTTCTGTAAATACCTAGCAGATGGCAGATTGTGCTAGACAAGTTTCCAAAACAGGTAAAAATCGATCTTCAGTTGCAATTGCACTTAAAGTTTTATGTATAATATCTCCCTGAATTTCTTCCTGCTTCACAATATCTTCCTGTTTTATGAGTCTTTGTATATTTCTCCTTGCTTCTCTTCCCCCTTCTGATCGTTATTTCCCACTTGGGGATCTGTTTTCTTCTCTTCCTCTTTCTGATCTTTGTTTTCCTCTTGTGGGTCCATTTTCTTCTCTTCTTCTTTCTGATCTTTGTTTTCTTCTCGGGGATCTATTTTCTTCTCTTTCTGATCTTTATCTTCATTTTGGGGTTCTATTTTCTTCTCTTCCTCTTTCTGATCTTTATTTTCCACTTGTGGATGCATTCTCTTCTCTTCCTCTTTCTGATCTTTCCCTTCATTTTGGGGTTCTATTTTCTCTTTCTCTTTCTGATCTTTATTTTCCACTTGTGGATGCATTCTCTTCTCTTCCTCTTTCTGATCTTTACCTTCATTTTGGGGTTCTATTTTCTCTTTCTCGTTCTGATTTTTATCTTCAGCTGGGGGATCTGTTTTCTTCTCAAGTTTACGATCTTTGTTTTCCTTTTGGGGATCAATTTTCTTCTCTTCCTCTTTCTGATCTTCATCTTCAGCTGGGGGATCAATTTTCTTCTCTTCCTCTTTCTGATCTTTACCTTCAGCTGGGGGATCAATTTTCTTCTCTTCCTCTTTCTGATCTTTACCTTCAGCTGGGGGATCTATTTTCTTCTCTTCCTCTTTCTGATCTTTATGTTCCACTTGCAGATTAATTTTCTTTACTTCATTCTTAACTTTATTTACCACTAGGGGATTCTTCTCTTCCTGTTTCACATCTCTTCGTGTTGTTCCATTTTGCTGTAAATCTTCTTTCTCTTCATCTGTCTGATTTGGTTTCTTATCATCTTTTGCCTCACATGGATTCTTATATTTTACATTTCCTTTCCCTTCCTGGTTGGAAGCTCTCTCTGTCTCATGTGTTTGTTTCTCTTTATCTTTCAGGCCCATTTCATTCATATTACTTCCTGAAATTGCCTTTCTCTCTCCTGTTTCTGTATTTGTTCCCTCTTCAGTCTTACAGCTTGTTTTGGGAGTATAGATGCCAGAGGATTTTGGATCTTGAATGTTCGTATTTCCAATACTTTCAATATCTGTTAGGAAATAATCAATTAGAAAATGTAACAACGATCATTATATCATCATAATTATGTGTGTCTCTTCAAATGTTTGTATAATTCCCCTTTCCTAGTTAATGCTTTTAGCCAGTTGTGGCTAAAAGGTTTGTTGCAACAAAGTAGGGTGGGTCCCAATAATATAGTTATTTGGCTACTTTATGAAGCTGAATGCCAAGATTGTCCCATTAAGGCAAAAGTAGGATATTTATAAAATGTAGGGTCGTTTTTATTAAACAACTTTTTTGTTGACTGCATAAATCCATATATATACTTTAAATATTTTTTAGGTCTTCATAATAATTAAAAAATTAAAACCCTTGAATGAGCTGGTTTGTCAAAACCTATATTGGTACTGTGTGTCCACATCTGCCCCGTGACGGATACATAGCTACAATTATCATAATCACAGCAAAGCAGAAGGATAAAAAAAATCAAATCATTACCTGTTTTCTGCTGGTCTACTTCCTGGTATTTTCTATTTGTACCTGATGTAACAAAGACAAAGAAATTTTTTACCAAATGTTCAAGCTGATACACACTTTTACAACACTTCCAACATAAAAGGCATTTCTGTGGCCACTGCATGCATATGATATTTGCAGATGCTGTCTATCATATGTCTTTATGATTTAAATAATATATATTAAAAGACAATCACAAGAGAATCCTTAAACCTTCAATCTCTGCAATCCAGAATGTCCTGTGCGCATGTAGCATTAGGGATGTAATAATAGTGTTTGAATCTCATAGGTCTCCTTCAGTTGTTTGTGAATGGGGATGTATTTAAATATGATCAAGTGGTTTGAGTTCTTATGTATGAGGTGCCCTGAGAGAGCACTCTGGGGGCTTGAGTCTTTTGTGAGGGAGCTGACCAATAGATTTTGATACACAGTCCAAAGACTACTTGAACCCAGTTGGTTTCTTATACAGTCTTGTCTTGTTAGTTTGGGCAATTCAGTCAGCTTCAATTTCACTAAAGACTCAACATCTCAAACTCAAGCTCTAAAATGAACTTACAGCACTTGACTATGTTTTACACTTAAACATTAGCACTAGCTGTCCGCTAATATGCTAATGCAGTTGCGAGACCGTTACTTTACCTTGTTTATGTCGACGATATATGAAACAAATTGCAATGACCAATAAAACAACTGGAACCAAGATGCTGGCAATTATGATACCGGGGGAAACAGATGAGCCTTAAGGAGAACAAATAAAAAAGAGCATAAGTTTCCTTATATAGAAAAATAAAAGGCTGTGTAAGCCGAAGCGCCCTGTCACGTTGAATCAGCCCCCAGCAATTTGTGGGGGCTGTCCCTGCACATCCAGACACCTAACTCACCCGCAAAGCATTCTGCAGCTTTATAGGCTTCGCTGCTCCGGCTGCTAGCTTTACTCCTCACAACACAATTGTAGACCCCGTCAGGATCATCCTCCTCCATGATGACTAGCTCTGTCGGCTCAGGAGACCAAGTGAGCTTTGAGATGCTACCCCCCTCCCATCTGTACTGGAGGTCTGGACCTTCTGCACTGCAGAGAAGTCTTGCTGTGGTCTCGTTCTTCGTACATCGCACTGTGGGCATTGTGATGGGCTCTGAAAGTCAGACAACTCCATTATTCATTGAGCTTGTGAAGGAATAGGCATTTGAAATTGCACAGATGCAAGAATATATTATCTCAGCATGTTTTACTTTGTGGAATTCAGTTCTTGGTGTGTTTCTTGAAAATTATTTAACCAATTACAAAGGCATTTACAAAAAATATACCATTAGTAGAGTTTTAGTCCTTTGCATGATGAATCTGATTCTGTGCACAAATTGTTCCAAAGACAATTCCCTCAAATTTCTGTTGTTTTAACATTGCATATTTAATTCAATTTTTGCATAACACTGCATACTTCATTAGACTCTGGCATTTTTTTACACATCAATACTGTTCAAAATGGCAGTCTTCAATTAGCAATAACAACACACACTCTATGAGGTACAAACATAAATTGTACCTAGAAATGTTTGATCACAATATCAGCTTGAAAAGAGAGCCACATTTGAGCTCTACCATGTTCTACAGCAGGGGAACCTGTTCCATGAGGGCGGTATGGGTGCGGGTTTTTGGGATGGCCTCTCAATCAGCCAACCCACACCAGCCCTCCATGGATCAGGTTCCCCACCCCTGTTCTACAGCATGGCAGAAAGGAAAGGTGAACTATAGAAGCTCTGGTAACAGGTGGATGAAAAGGAACATGAGGAAGTCTAAAGGGGGAATTACTGCAAATGACGATGTTCAGAAATTAGAAGTTTCAATTGTCTACCATAAAACTAAAATTGAACAATATATTGTATACTGTAATGCATTCTTTCTACCGTATAATAGGGATGTGCATCTCCATCATTGAGGCGATGTGTTGCCAACAATCTGTTACGTCTCACGGCGCACGGAGCACAGTAAGGGAGGCAGGATGCCAGGAAATGGGATAAATGCGGGGTTTAACTGAAGTAAACACAGAACGAACAGGCAGTAACCTAGGTTGACAATACAATGACCGGACTAGGGAAACAAACTGAAACGCGGACTAAATGCATTGGACTAATGACAACAATCAGAAATAGCTGGTAAACATGGGGAATCCACAAGGGTTAACGAGGGGGCGTAGCACACAGAAGGAGCGGACAAGCAGGGCATGACAGAATGCCCACCCAAAGGTGTGCACTCTAGGCGCTCCTAAGGGGAGAGAAGTGACGGGGACACAAAATCAACAACATCAACAGGGCACAAGGAACAGCACGGACACACAGAACAAATACAAGGAGACCAACCTGGACAACAGACGACAAACCACAGGGAACGCAGAGACACACATAGGGGCACCAACGACGGAAACACAGGACCCGGGAACACGAAAGGGGACAATGGAGGAACACTAGGGTGCACACCAACAAGAGGCACAAAGGGACCAGCAGGAAACATAGGGGGCACAAAGGCAGGAGGCACGGAGGCAAAGGGTGGGGGGGGACACCGGGAGCCGAAGGGAACCCCGGCAAGCAAGAAGCGGAAGCTGCAGGGGCAGCAGGTGACCGCGAGGCCGGAGCAGGCAGGACCCTCGGCAAGAGTGAGGGAGGAGTACGAAGGAACGTCAGGTGGAGGGACCAATGAAGGAGGCGAGGAGGAAGGGGAAAGGGTCAACAGAGGAGGTGAGGAGGGAACAGCAGCGGCAGGACAGGTGAAGGCGCAGCCACAGCCGGCCAAGGCGCAGGTGACCGATGAGTCGACGACGGGGGGCCAGCAGTCGACCGATGAGGCGTCGGAGGCGAAACTGAGGGCGACCCCCGAGCCAAAGCCAGGGGAACTGCAGGCAACCGCCAAGCTGAAGCTGGACCCAGTTGGGATCGACCATGCTGGGGTGATAGTTGGGGTGACCCCCCTGAGGGGGTCATGGGGGAAGTCAAGGTAATCCCCGAGTGGTCCCATTCGAGCTCCTCCTCTACGTCCACCAAGGGAGGAGGAGCGATGGTCCGTCTATTGGGGACTTCCTCAGGGACGGAGGTCAGGGACACGGGAGCAGGGTCCGGTGGATCAGGGGAGTTCAAGGGGGTTGTGTTTACCAGAACCACGGGGGGCTGAGCAGGAACCTCGAGGGGGGCGAAGTGGGAACCACGGGGGGCAAAGCAGGAACCACAGGGGGCAAGGTATCGAACCATGGGGGGCAAAGCAGGAACCACAGGGCATGCTACAGGCACCGCCGGCACTGGAACCACGGGGGTGCGGCCAGGATCTGTGCCTTGGTAGCGGGCTCTGCTCGTTTCAGGAACCAGGGGACCCGCGGGCTGGCATCCCAAACTGACCTGGTCCCTAAGAAGGGGCACCTGCTGATCCCGGTAGCAAAGCAACAGATGGCTGCTGTGAAGCGGCGGTGGCGGCGACGTCCGGAGGGAATACCGCCGGATTAAGCACCGGGAGGGATTCCTCCCAACACGCAGCAGGGCGGGCAGCAGAGACAGAGACGGCCCCTAGGAGTACCTCCTGTGTGTCCTCATGTCTCCGGTTTTTCTTCTTTTTTCTCCTTCTTGCAGCGGGTGGCAGTGTCTGGGGCACCTCAGGTAGCTCGGACAGCTGACCAAAAGGCAAGCCACAGGCTATGGCCATGTTCTTCATTTTAACCTCCACCACTCCGCGTCTCAGCCACCGCAGATTTTCGCACACCTCCCCCACGAGGTGCGCGTCTCCGGGCAGGGATGTCTCCTCAAGAATGTCCCTCGTCTGGAAAGCATTGGCTTGAGCCAATGCAACGCCTCATTAGCTAGACCGAGGAATTGCTCCTCATTCAGGGCAGGCGTCTTTTCGATGAGTCCGGTCATTCTGTCACGTCTCACGGTGCACGGAGTGCAGTAAGGGAAGCAGGACGCCAGGAAACAGGATAAATGCGGGGTTTAATTGAAGTAAACACAGAACAAACAGGGAGCAACGCAGGTTGACAATACAATGACCGGACTACGGAAACAAACTGAAACGCGGACTAAATACATTGGACTAATGACAACAATCAGAAACAGCTGGTAAACACGGGGAATCCACACGGGGTTAACAAGAGGGCATGGCACACGGAAGGAGCGGACGAGCGGGGCATGAAAGAATCTGATATATTAAAGGTACATATCAAGCAACTACTATTGCAAAAAAGATAGTGTTCACTCCTATTGCAGTGTGATTCGACATGATTCAATGTGATGCAAACCATATCCAGACACGCCTCTAACTTGTGCAAGATTCGGCTGAGAGACTTGAAGAGTAGAATTGGCCACTCACTGCAGTGGAGAGCTGGAGATGAGAGAATAGGCTTAAGAAACAGTTTAGAGAGGGGGAATCAATATAAAATTATTGGTCAAAAATTATTGGCCACAATTCTTAATAATAAAGACATAGGGGATGTACTAATAAATACATGTTAATGTTATGGGTGTGTGCTGCTTCCCACTCAATAACTCCAGCAAACGGGGCAGGACAGGCCTGTTACCCTCCCGTTGTGGCACTCTGCGTTGTGTTTTGGTATGCTGGTGATGTCACGTGGCACAGGGGCAGTAACATAACCACGATGTTTTAAGATGATGTGAGGGGGATATAGGGCTCTCGAAGGAACAAACAGGCACACTTAGGTTCGCTTCTAAAACGCTTTATTACAAGTAATACAAAATAACTTTGCATTAAAATTTATACCAAAATACTGGATCAAAGGCAATGCAAAATAATCCCATATCACAAGTGATATCCAATACTATTATATATCATTAACAATAATAAAACTGCCAATACAAGAGATTATAGGCATGTATAAAAAAAGTGACATTGAAAAATGCATATAAAGAGAGTGCAAGTTGATATTATTGCTCTTGTGATTATACTGAATCCCATCAATGATTGAATCAATATACAAACACTGCATAGCTATTCACACTTGGACATGCCATCATCACCCACCTTCAAAAGGGAGCCCGAGGGAGCCCAGGCGGGCAACAGGCAGCGGCGGAGGGGCCGCAGGTGGAAGGGAAAAGGGAGCAGGAGGGAACCACACAGGGGCCAAGGGAACGGGACGAGGGAGAGACGGAGGGGACACGGAGGGAGCAGGAGGGAACACCGGCGGAAGTAGGGGGGCCCGGATGCGGCCGACACGGAGCCGGAGGTGAGGTCGAGGACCGGAACCGAGGAACCGGGGGAGGACCCGGAGGCGACCGTCGATTCGACGGCGCAGGACCCGCAGGCATCACCGAGCCACAGCCAGGGGCCGAACGGGCGAGCCAGGGGGCAGGGCGCCTACAAGGCATTGTTCGCGGTGGGGTAAGGGAGAGAGATGCAGGGAGGTGGCCAGTGAGGATGTGGGTGGGGTGACTGCCGGTGGTGCCACCTCATTCACGGACGAGCAGGACAGGACAGACGAGCAGGGCAGGACAGACGAGCAGGGCAGGACAGACGAGCAGGGCAGGACGGGCTGGACTGACGTGCGGTCAGCAGGGGGCACCCCGGCCGTGAGTCTGCCTCGGGCAGAGTGGCGACAGCAGCTGCAGCAGGGGCTGCGGGCGTGGCAGCTGGAGCCGCGGGCGTGGCCGCAGGCGGCACATCCGGAGACGCGGGCGTGGCATCCGGAGAGGCAGTCAGGATGGGCGAGCCAGGCTGGACGAGCAGGACAGGAGAGCCGGGCTGGACGGGCAGGACAGAAGAGCCAGACTGGACGGGCAGGACAGAAGAGCCAGGCTGGACGAGGAGGACAGGAGAGCCGGGCTGGACGGGCAGGACAGGAGAGCCGGGCTCAGGCAGGGCCGCGGGTGTGCGGCCCGCAGGGGGCGCCTCGGACGTGCGGCCAGCAGGGGGCGCCTCGGCGGGCGCCTCGGGCGTGCGGCCAACAGGGGGCGCCTTGGCGGGCACCTCGGGCGTGCGGCCAGCAGGGGGCGCCTCGGCGGGCACCTCGGGCAGAGCGGCGGTGGCAGCTGCAGCAGGCAGTGCTGCGGGCAGAGCGGCGGCCTCAGGCAGGGCCGCGGTGGCAGCTGCAGGGACCGCAGGCAGAGCAGCAGCAGCTGCAGAGACCGCAGGCAGGTCGGGCGGGTC